GGGTCTAGGCCCGAAACGTCAGCCTCTCTGCTCCTATGATGCTGCTTGGCCTGCTGTGTTCATCCAGCCCTGCACCTTGTTGTCTTGGACTCATAAGATAACTTGCCCATTCCATGTATTAGTCAGATCAATCTTCTCTGGACTGCTCCTAGGACATTTACATCCTTAATGTGACCAATATTGTACACAATATCCCAAATACAGTGTCGCCAGTACCCTGTACAGCTGAACCATAACCTCCCTGTTTTTATTGCATTCCCCTTGCAATTAAAGATAACACTCTATTAGCATTTCTAATTACATTCTATACCTGCATACTAGCCTTTTACAATTCATGCTCGAAGACTAATAGATTCCCGTGCAACCACTAACAATTTAGATCATCTGCTTTTATTATTATTCCTCCAAAATAGGCAATTTCATATTTTCCCACATTATACTCCATTTGTCAGATCTTTGCCCACTCTCTTAACCTATCTCTATCTTTTTGTAACCTCATGTCTTCTTCACAACTTAAGTTCCTATCTCAGAGATAGTAGGAACTGTCGATGCTGGAGAATCTGAGATAACAAGATGTAGAGCTGGATGAACACAGCAGGCCAGGCAGCATCAGAGGAGCAGGAAAGCTGACGTTTCGGGTCTGGACCCTTCTTCAACATCAGCTTTCGTGCTCCTCTGATGCTGCCTGGCCTGCTGTGTTCATCCAGCTCTACATCGTTATCTTAATTTCCTATCTATCTTTTTTGCCAAGAGTGAATGTAGCAACCCAGAGGTTCTTCCTGTCCCTTCATCTCAAGTCATTTATATCGATTGTAAACATTTGAGGTTCCAGCACCAATCACTGTGACACACCACTTGTTACATATTACCAACCTGAAATAGATCCATTAATATCTACTCTCATACCTATGAACCTGGGAATTTCAGAGCTTAACATACCCATTCAAATTGCCTCGTTCATTATTTTAGCTTCCAAAAGGGCTTAATTCTTTTTTGAGTCAGAAATTAATTTGATACAAATGAATCAATTGTCTATACAATGATACCTACTGAGCAGTTTTTATCGAAAGTTACAAATTACAGAATGTAGATAAAAGTAATTGACATGAAATGGAGAGTCGGAGGAGATAAGGAAAATAGAAGAGGAAATCCATACTCCTTCTTGAATGCCCAAAATCCACCTGATACAATTTTGCAATACAAATATCAACAGTGTGCACATGTTCTGCCTAATTGTACCAAGCAGTGAGCAGCCCAACCAGTTAAAGGGAACACTGATATCGGGAACTGAGCTTTTTGTCCTTTCCTCTGAAGTGCTTCACCTGGCCCCACAACATATCGCGAGTAGTTACTGACTGAAATTTGTTTCTGACAGCCTCCCTGACAAACATGTGCCTCCTCTACCGCCATTTCCCACCTCCCCCACACCAGTTGACCTGTCAGCCAGCTCAGTAAAGGGGTAGGCCAACTTCCCATCCTCTCACAACAGGTGAGCTGCAGCACAGCACTTGCTTGGTGTTACTCAGCTCACTGGCTCTGTACCAATATCATGCCTGTTCCAGCTACAGGTTTAACATTCCCCTGGGTATATCAGCAAGGTGTCTTTACCAATGATTAGTTGTTTTCCAAAGATAGGGATTTCACTAAGTTTAATTATTTTAAGCGTGCCCATGAATTTGATTGTGAAGTTTAGCTGCAGCTGGCCAGTGAGTAGGAGAGAGAGTAGGTCAACATTTAAAGACTTTGCATTATATTTTGGCAATAGAAGAGGCAATGTAGCTTGAGATCATTGCTAGCTCAAAGATGCAAAACCAAGAGATTGAACCAAGTTAGCACTTAATTGCCAGAACATAACCTCAATTCCTTAACCAATTGTGTTTGGAAGGTCCTTTATACAAGAAAAACAGCACATAGAGGCAGATTGCATCAATATTAAAGTGGGTTAACAACTGAGGTAAGTTTTGAAAATTGCAATCAGTAATACGCAGCAAGAAACATTAAGAAACATGTGGCCAAGGAAGAAACGCCACTAGGTCACTGATACTCAGAGGACAGCCCAAGGCCAGGCATGTGCTCAACTCAGGCAGGAGAGGGCCCTCTAGTGTCAGGAATCAGGGACTTTGGCCCCATGCACAGGAAGGAGCTGGATTCACCAAATATCCTCAGACAGCACCTCCCAAACCCATGAACATTTCCATCAAGAAGGACTAAGGCAGCAATTATATGGGAACACCACCACCTTCAAGTTTCCCCCCAAGCCATTCACCATCCTGACTTGGAAATATTCCTTCACTGTCGCTGAGTCAAAATCCTGGAATTCCCTCCCTAATGGCATTGTAGGTCAACCCACAGCAGGAGGACTGCAGCAGTTCAAGAAGGCAGCTCACCACCACCTTCTCAAGGGCAACTAGGGATGGGCAAGAAATGCTGGCCAGCCAGTGACACCCACATCCCTCAAAATGAATAAATACAAAATAAAAATGAGCAACAGGCAGGAACATGGGGGCACAATGCACCTCATCACCCAGATGCTGCAGCAGTACAGCAACTCATGCCATCATCTGGCTGCCTCCAAGCACAGGCTGATGGCTGCCATGGAGAGCCAGGCCCAACACCTTCAGGGTCTGCTGGAGACACCCACTAAGCAGCACTCCATCGTCCCAGCCATTTGTCCTCAGGACCGGAGGCCCATTGACAGGAGTTGGGGAACCTGGTGCACGCTCCACATGCCCCTTTCTCACAAGGAAAGGGGCAGTGCCAGGAGGCACCCATCAGAGGAGGAACCACACACAGGTCCCTCACAAATCTCACCTCAGACAAATGCAGAGAAGGCCGGGCCCTCCACCTCCACCCTGACTGCCCCCTCTGGACCTTGGATGTTCAGGTCAAGGAAGGTGAACTTGCCTCCCATTACTAGTAGCAATTCTCATAAACCCTACAGGCTTTACACCTCCTCGCAGTCCAATACAACTCATCTCCATGTATCCAAACACATCCACCTTTCCCACTCAGTCCCGGGCATATGAGGTGATCATGCCAGGTACAGTCTAACATGGCCTCTGTCTTGACCCTAGGGTGCTCTTGATGGTGGAGGAGCCCCTTCTTCTGTGCTATCCTTTCACAGCTTTACCAGAATTGCCCCCCACCACCCACCCCACGTAGGCGCTGTTGCCCCTCCACTCCCATTCGCAATTGTACACAGCCATTCCCCAAAGCCAGAAGCCACCAGTCCCGAAGGCTGACATGAAACTCAGTCCTGCACCAATGACCATCCTTACTCACCCCAAAACTGCCCCCATTTTTTCCTTTATTTTCTGTGGGTGGACCTGACAGACTGACTGTGGCTCACATTCTTGACCAACCAGAGGGGACAGCCCCAAATGAGGCGTGACCAGTCTGGTGTCTCTACATCTCTTTGACTCTAATACACTTCCTCCTGGGCTAGCTGCTATGGAGATAAAGGACTGACTGTGTCTGACTGATCCTGGACTCCCCTCACGAAGACACCGCCCCCATCCCACAATTTCATGCCTCACTTTGGCCAATACCCCGGACTGATATCTGAGGCTGGCCTTTGGCCTACCATGCCAGGACTGTCTGACTGAACAATTCCAGCATGGACTCCACTAAGGACTTCTCCTCTAGGACTCTGAGACATGGCTGTCTAGTTGCTGCACATGCATTGTGTATTTGCTGCTAAGCTATTGGTACATAGAGCCGATGTGAGACTGAGGGAGCGCACTGCATACAACAAGATGTCCACCCCCTTCCCTGAGGACTACTGACCAGCAAGACAAATTGCCTCTTTCTGTGACTGCACTAATTGGCATAGCATGGTGTGTATGATACGGGAATGCAGGGGTTTACTAATTAAACAAGCACCAAGAGAGCAAGCGAGCAATTGGGAGATGCAGCCTAGTCCACTCTGTGTCCTTGAAGCACCCTTTCAATGCCAGTTGCCAGAGCACCCTGCAGTGCAAGTCTATGCTTGCAAAGCACACTACCAGTACATCAGTGAGCTGCCATGAGAGGTTGCTGAATGCTGTATGCCAATTTCCTATGGAGCAAGAGTGCTTACAGCTGGAGTCTGTGCATAATGCCCTGAGCTGCAGTTTGGTCGTAAGCAACGTTTATGTCCTTCGGAGCAAAAACTGAGTTGAACCTGCTGTGATTTCCATGTTGTGTTTTCCTGTGGCTTGTTCAGCGAGTTTCATAAGATAGGAGGCTGAATATTAGTATGGGCAGTTGGTCAGTGAATGAGGTGATTAACATGCGATCGCCACCCCCACCCTAACTGCAACTCACTTCTGCTTCACAAGAAACTCCCCACAATGCTTGACAGCAGCGTCAAAAATAGAGCGAGATGATCTCAATGTCGAGGTGGACCTTAGTATCTGATTCTGCCAAACGTCTCACCATAGCCCATGTCGCCCAGAACCCCAGGAAACAAACAGTCTGCCCATCGTTGCTGAGAATATGAGAGAGATTTCAATGGTCAGATCTAACTCTGAAATCTTATGCTGTTCTCCCACCCATGTTCACGTGATATCGATATATTGGACGATGTTGTAACCTTTCAGTCCCTTACACCTTTATACAACATTAACTACGCACACAGCCACAAACGTTGAATAGTCATCCAAAATATAAACCTACAGTAGGAAACAAAGTAATAGATAGATGGGAAAAATACTCTTACAGATTTTCCTCTCTTTCCAGGTCTGCCAACAGGTCCTCTGTGTCCAGGGGCTCCAGATTCTCCCTTTGGACCCATTTCACCCTATCATAAAAGACATTATTTTAAAAAGTTAGGTTCTTGATATAGCATTATTATTCCACAGACAACAAGGTGCAGAGCTGGATGAACACAGCAGGCCAAGCAGCATCATAGGAGCAGAAATATTCCACAGTTTGGTTGACATTTGTAAAACCCCAAGTCTTTTGTGTTCATTTATCTACAACACTGAAGGAAAGTATTTGACAAATTCATATTTTGAGCAACATATAAAAGCTATGACTTTGACTTTCTATCAATTTGTCTTCTTACTGGTAGTTTGAAAATGGGTATTTCATAATTTACACTGTCCATCACTTGTAACACTAAATTGCCAGCTCCTGTTGGCGCAAGATTTTCTCAAACTGTACTTGATTCCATGCTTACCACAAGAACTGGGGTTTAGTCGGCTGCTGTGACACAGGGTGATGCCAACGGCGTGCGTTCAATTCCCAGGCCGGCTGAGGTTCCCATGAAGGGTTCTCCTTCCCAACCACTCCCCACAACTGAGGCACGGTGACCCACCAGCAAGACAGCAGCCCATGGTCTGGTAATGCTATGGTGAATTTAACTTATACACAAGAATTTCCATCACCTTTCCCTGTCCCTCCTTCGCCCACACCCACAGTCATAAGTCACAGGTAAGAAAGACTATTACAAATCTCTGGAGTTTCAGTATCTCAGAGAATACCAAAGGATACTTGGTACAAGACTCAAGCCCATGACCCTTTAGGGAGGGTGAGCCTCAGCATTCTCCAAGAGTACCTGGGCAACTGCATGTGCACTTTTAAATAGGTTTGGGTGAATTATTTAAGTTTGGAAAGTTATACATCTTCTGCAATGCATGCTTTCAGTGCCAGCTGGCTAGGAGAAACATGACAGTCAACGAAATTAGGCAAATTATTTCTCTAATTTGATTAACTTTCTTTATAGCAGTTACATGATCCTCACTGGTGCCACAAGAAACAAATTGATGTGGTTGCTTTCTATGAGTTCCTGGTTCCTGATTGATTGAAACTTAACTGTCTACAATTGAGGAATAGAAGCTTTTCCTACCTGTCTATGTTTGAACCAATATGCAGAGCTCTCGTGGTGCACTGATAGTGTGCCTTTCTCTGAGCTAAGAGACCTGGGTTCAAGTCCCACATGTTCCTGGGGTCCCCAACTCTAAAGGAATTAATTTGCTAATATGCACTGGAGATTTTGCTGACAAAACTTCATCTCAAAGGGTACATGGAAATGTTGTACATAGAATCCCATTTGGCCCATCAAGTCCAGACTGCCCCTCTAAACCCACCTCCCTACCTTATCCTTATAATCCTGCATTTTCCAATGGCTAATCCTCCTAGCCTGCATATCCCTGGACAATTTAGCATGGCCAATCCACCTAATCTGGACTGTGACAGGAAACCAGAGCACCCAGAGGAAACCCACATAGACATGGGGAGAATGTGCAAACTCCATATTGACAGTCACCTGAAGGTGAGATCGAACCCAGGTCCCTGACGCTGTGAGGCAGCAGAGCTAACTGTACCACCTCTACTTATGCCTAAGCAGTATGAAAATCCCATCCTGGAGAGCAGTCACCCTCTGGCCTCTGTTACTGGCAGCTTTGGCAGGAGTGGTGGCCTTACCAGGAGGTCTTTGGGCCTGCACCAGCATTTGTCGTAGATTCTTGGAGCGAGAGAAACAAGGGCAAGATGGAGTTTCTGTGGAGGGGACAGCCAGCCAGAGAAGATAGGGTGATGGGGGTTGGGTCAAATGATGGGACAATAAGAAACTCTTGGTAGGCAACGCTTTCCTGATGTTGTGTTCCTTAATCAGTCACGGAAAGTCTCTAACCGTGATGGAGGGGACACCACCCTGCCCCTTACAGAAGGCCTCAGGCATATTCAACAGATTTCTCTTGTTATTCTCCCAGCCTGCCTCAACAACTATCAGAATGGGAAGGTCACCCACAAACAACCCTGAACTTAAATGAGAGTTGCAGTGGTGTCCCTACAACCAAACTTCCCCCACAGACACATACCTCCATTAAACCCTGTCTTTTATTTGCTTGCTGGTTCTTTAAAATTGTTTCATATGTGACATATTTGCGAGACCATTTGGACAAATTTATTTTATTGTCATCTGTGTGTTTCATGTATAATGGTAACCAGGATATATCTCTGAGTTGCATTGTGATTTATGTAACTTGACTGGGTTTTATAGTGGATGTTATTATAACTATGGTAGCGCAGTGAGCAGCTCTCATACCGGAGTTATGTCACCAAGTACAAAACACTGGGAGTCAGACTGAGCTAAGCAACATAGCAGATTTGTTACAGCTGGATTCAGTGCCCTGGGTTTGGGAGTTGAACATTGCCAGACATTTTATTTCCTGCATTGGCGCCAGGTCTGCTTTTCACTCAAGGGCATCAGGCCGGTTCTAAGCATTAATTTCCCTTCCCATCACTCCCTCATATTTAACTCTGTATCTAGGTTCTAGATCCAGATGACTGAGCAGCTTTTCTTTGTCAAGCATGCCCTATTGTTTCAAACTTATAACAGTCGGACTCTATAGTGCAATATAAAACTCCAAACAATAGAACATCACATTTTAGATATTTTAGATTAAGATTTAGGTTTTTATTGTCACGTGTACTCAAGTAACAGTACTACAGTGAAAAGTGTATAATGTTGCTACACACAGTGCCACCTTAGGTGTCAAGGTACTCTCCTGCATGCTGAGGTACCAGGAAATGCCAGGTGAGATGACATGGTAGATGAAAGGGTAGAAGAATGGGTTCACAGAAAGTGTTTGAGGGGCCATGGGAATGCCTAGTAGATATTGGGGTTTTGAAGGTTGTTTGGGATAGGTCACAAGACATAAGGTATTCATTGGCAGGCACCATGGGGATGTGTAGAGGGGCATAAGGTATGGAGGAACATGGAGGATGGGTAGAGGTCATTCCATGGCATGGGGGTGAGGAGTGAAGGCCAAAGGAATGTATTTTATTTTATTCTTCCAGTTTAATTTTTGGATATTGTGGTGAAGTCCGGAGGCAGCATTTCCACCCAGTCAGCCTCAGAAATATACAAAATCCCCAGCTCTTCCCAACTTATCTGGCTTGACTCCACCTTCTGTTCTGGCTCACCCTGGACCAAATATAGGGGGAGAGGAGGTTTAAAGGCAGGATAATAGCCGTATGAAAGCAGAGTAAAAGGGGAATTAAAGAAATAAGTAGAAGCAAAAAGCTAAAAAGGGAAACAAAATGGAGACAGAGGTGGAGTTTTTCAAATTGTTGAATTCACTGTCAAGCCCAGAAGACTGTAGAGTGCTAAGCTGAAGGAGAGGCACTATTTCTCAAGCTTGAGTCAAGCTTCATTACAACACCACAGCTGGCCAAGGAGAGTGTTATAAAGCGGAGATTGACCCCCCTCTGAGAACTAAAAGTGAAGCACCCAAAGAGGAGCATCTCTCTCTATAATCTGTAAAAGGAGTGTGAAAAGTGGTGTAACCTGCCTTTCAGCAACGTCTAATGATTTAGTAATACAAATCCCTGACACTCACTTTCAATCAACAAGTAACAATTGATTTATCTAACTCTAACAGTGAACAAATTAATTAAACTATTAATAAACCGAATAAATCCCTACTAACTACTAACTATTCCCGAATAAAGCAAGATTCTAATTGTATGCTGTTCCAATAAATATAAATCCCACTTATATTTAAAAAAAGAATTTAGTCTCTCGAAATCACAGCCAGGTTACATGTCTTCCAGAATGTTCTGTGCCTTCTCCATCGATTCTTCTGTCAGGAATATTAACTAGTTGTGCTGTTGGTACCGTTGGTATTTAGACGGTGCTTTCTCTAAGACAGAGACGAGGCTGTGAGAACCTGTGATTTTCTCTTGAGAACTGAGGGCCATTAGTCTGGCAGATGGCAGTTAGCTCTGTGGCTTTGTCCAACTGCCCCATTCTTTTATACTCTTGATGACCTATCAATATTTCTTACAATAGGATTGGTCCTATGCTGTCAAAACCATCAGATTTAAACTTACTTGGTTTTTTTGGTATCTAAGTGCCTAGTTCAAATTGATTAGCTTAATTGAAAAACCTGTTGTCTTGTTAAAAACTGCTGCTTGGCCTGTTAACTGTGTGGCCTTTTGACACAAATGTTTCAATTCCAGTGTTCTCTGTGTATTTGCAAACTTTCAAGCTGTTGCTCACAGACATCCATTTTAAATCTCTAAACACAGAAAAAGCACATCATCTTCTAAAGGGACCACACAATCCTTCCCTCCCTAGCATTTTCCAAACACCAAATTCTATCTTTCTGCCTCCCAATCCACAAGTACTCTACCCAACTTCGCAACAACAGGAAAGTCAGAGGGCCAGCAAAGTGAGCAATAGATTGTATTGCAGAGGAGCTAACATGAAAACGAGGTTGAAAAGGAGGCACTGAAAATAAGAAAGCACCATGGCTTCCAAAATCAATGCAAACAGGCTCACCACTGACTCCCCAACCAATAGACAGGTCCAAACATCCCCCTATCCTTTTCCCCACCAACCCCTCCAAGGCTGATCTGAAAATCCTTGACTCTGCTTTCCTGCCTTTTCACCATAGGTCTTCATTCCCTTATTGACTAAAAGTCTGTCTATCTCAGTATTGAATGTACAATGACCCAGCTGTGACAGCCCTCTTCAGTAAAGCATTTCACCATCTTCAGAGAAGAAATTCCTTCTCATCTGTGTCTTAAATGTATGACCACTTATTCTATGATTATGTCCTTTGGTCCTAGATTCTCCCACAAATGAAACAACTTCTCTGGATCTATTCTGCCAAGTCATCAATAAATCTTGCATGTTTCAATAAGCTCACCTCTCAATTCTTCAAAATTTCCAGTAGAGGTCCAACCTGTTCAAAATTTCCTCATAAGATAGTCCCTCCTTTTGTCAGTCTGCACTGCCTCCAATACCAGTATATTTTTTTCCTTCACTCCTGAGATGTGGGCACTTAT